ACGGCGGCAACCTGCAGAACGCAACCGCGAAGGGAGCGTGAGTGGCACCATACTCCGGATCAGACAATGGTCCGAAGAGCCGAGAGGGGCATCGACGGAAACCTGATATCCGTCCGGATGAGAGGTCAGCAGAAGGTCCAACAGGGAAGGTGTATGATCCTCCACATCTGGAATCCGCGTAGGCGAAGTAACCAGTTGTGTCAGACCATATGCCAAGGCAAAGTCATAAACAGATCTCCCCGCATGATCGGTTACACGTGAACCGAGCCATTCGGCATGGTGGGCGTTAAAATCGCCAAGGATCACGATCTCTGCGGATGGGACCTGTTGTAGCAAGGAATCTGTAGCCATTTGGACGTGGTCGATGAGTCGGTCTGTTTCGGCATTACCGCTATGGGACCTATAGAGGCACCCGTAGACGCGCGGATGGTCGTCGCTGTCTACGCGTAGCCAAAGGATGGACAGGTCCGAACCTTCAAGACTGCCGAGGCGTCGAGAACAGATGTCCTCTCTAACATACACGCAAACTCCAGCCCGAGGCACAAAGGAGTGCTCCAATTTGTACCCCGGGTAAGAGAGATACGAAATATCAGTCGGAGAGGAAACCTGCGTCTCGGTCAAAAAGAGCAAGGCCGGCTTCGCCGTCTCGAGATGGTAGTGGACGGCGTTTAGGTTAGAGTGAAGTCCCCTGATGTTGCAGAAATTCACGGATAGCGTGGCAGGGGTCGCCTTGGTATTGTTGCTCAGCTTGCCCCGAGCAGTTTTGTTTTTGAGCGGAATTTTGCCCCCCCCAGAATACGCGGGGCAGCCTGAGCACCCACGCTCAGGATTGGAATAACATGGTCGTGGATGCTCAGCGAGGGATTCTCCAGGGGTACTGGTACCCTCCTGGGGTAGTCTATTGTCTAATTCCGCTACCATGTTGATGGGGGGGGGGGGGGGGGGGAATTGGGCCTCCGGCCACCTGCACTCACCAGACGAAACGCAGAAGCAGAGCCTCTACTTCACGCCGGTATTCTGTGAGGTCGTGGTACCAACCCGGCTCGAGCCGGCCCATACGTGCAACAGCAAAAAACTGGTGCAGGGCTCTACCACCGTTATATATAGAATGATGAAGATACTCACTAGGACTGATCCTCAAAGGGTTCTTCTTCAGTATATTCTCGGCGCTCGACTTCTTCTGTGGTATGTTTGACGACGTCTGCGAATTAGGATTACGTTTATCAAATTTGGGAGCTTTTAAGAACCTGCTGTTCATTGATTTTGTAATGGAAACTTTTGGTTTGTTTTGGTTTTTCAAAATCTTTGAATATACTGTGTTGCCAGATAATTTGTTTTTTTTTTTTTTTTTTTTTTTTATAGAATAGGGGGCAAACGAGCATGCGGCTCACCTGATGGTAAGTGACTACCGCCGCCCATGAACAACCGCAACACCAGGGGGATTGCAGATGCGTTGCCGGCCTTTTAGAAAGGTGTAAGCTCTTTTCTTGAAGGTTCCTAAGTCGTATCGGTTCGGAAAATTCGCTGGTGGTAATTGATTCCACAAAGAAGTTGTGCGAGGGAGAAAACTTCTTCTAAATCGCACAGTGGTGGACCGCCAATCATCCAGATGGTACGGATGGTAACGCGAGTTTTGTCGCGACGTGCGATGGTGAAATTGAGCGGCTGGAATTAGTCCGAACAATTCCTCAGAGCACTCCCCGTGATAGATGCGATAAAATACGCAAAGAGATGCAACATCTCTACGCAGTGCCAGTGTATCGAGCCGATCGGAAAGAACTCGGTCGTCGACGATTCGAATCGCTCTGCGCTGGATGCGGTCAAGTGGAAGGAGCTGGCACTGGGGTGCCCCGGCCCAGAGATGAGAACAGTATTCCATGTGGGGCCGAACTTGAGCTTTGTAAAGTTGCAAGCGATGTGCCGGCATGAAATACTGTCTCGCTCTGCTGAGCACGCCAAGCTTTTTAGAGGCCAATTTGGCCTTCCCTTCCAAGTGACCACGAAACTGCACGCTATTCGATATGTCGACGCCAAGGATTCCGATACTGGCTGAGGCAGCAAGGGGAGTGCCTTGAAACTGAGGAGATACGACAAAGGGGTTCTTTTTAGCGGTAAACGCGCAAACTTGTGTCTTCTGGGGATTGAACTGGACTAGATTTAGTCGGCCCCAATCCGAGACTTTGTTAAGCAAAGACTCGACTTCAGACACAAGTTTGTCCCGGTACTCGGCGACGTTTTCCCGAGAAATATTGGCACGGCCGGTATATAAGGCATCCCCAGTGCTGTCGTCTGCATAGCAATGAATGCTACCAGTTAGCAACATATCATTGATATGCAGGAGGAACAGCGTTGGTGATAGCACGCAGCCTTGTGGAACACCAGCGTTGATAGGCTTGTAATCAGAGCATGCACCGTCTACTACGACCTTGATGCTCCGATCAGCAAGGAAACTGGTGATCCATTTGCACAATTTCTCGGGAAGCCCATAGGAAGGAAGCTTCGAAAGAAGCGCCTTGTGCCAGACCCGATCGAAGGCCTTCGCTATGTCCAAACTAACGGCCAATGCCTCCCCCTTGGACTCTACTGCCTCCGCCCATCTATGAGTTAAGTAAACTAGAAGATCACCTGCTGATCGACCCCGACGAAAACCGTACTGACGGTCACTTATCAGCTGGTGATCCTCAAGGTACCTCATGAGCTGGCAGTTTATAATGGATTCCATTATTTTGGAGAACAAGGAGGTGATGGCGATAGGCCTGTAGTTGGACGGGTCTGAGCGGTCGCCTTTTTTAGGGATCGGGTGGACCAAAGCTGTCTTCCATGAATTCGGGACTACGCCTTGGGAGTAGGAGTACCGGAAAAGACGCGTTAAAACCGGTGCCAACTCTGGAGCACACGTCTTCAGCACAATGGGAGGGACTCCATCGGGCCCACTCGACTTACTGACGTCCAGGGAGAAGAGTGCTTTGCGAACCGAGCGCTGTGTAAATCGCACATCCGGCATGGAGCACTCACATCGCGGGATGGTCGGCGGTGTGTTCCCCCCGTCATCTAGAGTCGAGTTAGACGCAAAAAGAGAGCACAACAGATCGGCTTTCTCTTTTGCGGCATGGGCCAGTGAGTCGTCCTCTCTGTGCAGAGATGGGAGGGATGGCTGACAGAAGTTCCCTTGGACAGCCTTGGCGAGAGACCAGAATGCACGGGTTCCCGAAGGAAGGCGAACTAGCTTCTCGCCAATTCTGCCGATGTGCTCAGACCTTGCCTTGGCAATGACGCTTTTGAAGGACCTGGAGGCGGAATTATACTTCTTTTTAAGTGCGCTGGTGTTTAAATCCCGAGACGTTGATGCGTCAGCCCAGGCCCGGTAGCACTCCTGCTTATAGCGTGATGCTATTTTACAGGAGCGATCAAACCATGGCTGGGATCTGCCTCCAATGGGCACCACAGAGGATGGAATAAAAAGTTCCATACCCTGAAGCACCACATCAGCAACAGAATCGGCAACAACGCTGGGATCTTCCGGCGAGAAGCAAACCCGCCCCCAAGGGTAGGATGCAAAAAAAGACCGCATCCCATCCCAATCAGCTGACCTATAGTGCCAAACACGGCGGCAAGCTGTAGATCGCAACTGCGATTGGAGCGTGAGTGGCACCGTGCTCCGGATCAGACAATGGTCCGAAGAGCCCAGAGGGGCATCGACGGAGACCTGATATCCGTCCGGATGAGAGGTCAGCAGAAGGTCCAACAGAGAAGGTACATGGTCTTCCACATCTGGGATCCGCGTAGGCGAAGTAACCAGTTGTGTTAGACCATATGCCAAAGCAAAGTCGTAGACAGATCTACCCGCATGATCGGTTAAACGAGAACCAAGCCATTCAGCGTGGTGGGCGTTGAAATCACCGAGTATCACGATCTCTGCGGATGGGACCTGTTGTAGCACGGAGTCTGCAGCCATTTGGACGTGGTCGATGAGTCGGTCTGTGTCGGCATTACCGCTATGGGACCTATAGAGGCACCCGTAGACGCGGGGATGGTCGTCGCTGTCTACGCGCAGCCATAGGATGGACAGGTCCGTACCTTCAAGGCTGCCGAGGCGTCGAAAACAGATGTCCTCTCTGACGTATACGCAAACTCCAGCCCGGGGCACAAAGGAGTGTTCCAATTTGTATCCCGGGTAGGAGAGATATGAAGTATCAGCCGGAGAGGACACCTGAGTCTCGGTTAAAAAGAGCAAGGCCGGCTTCGCCGTCTCTAGATGGTAATGGACAGCGTTAAGGTTGGAATGAATTCCCCTGATGTTGCAAAAATTCACGGATAGCGTGACAGGGGTCGCCTTGGTTGTATTGCTCCGCTTGCCCCGAGCAGCATTAGTCATGAGCGGAATTTTGCCCCCCCCAGAATACGCGGGGCAGCCTGAGCACCCACGCTCAAGAGTGAAGTAGTTTGTTCGTGGATGCTCAGCGAGGGATTCTCCATGTTGTGTGGGGATGTTTTGTGGTAGCTCCTTTACCACTATTAATTGGTTGGTTTTCGATATTCTTAGATTTCTCCACTACAGTTTCTTTTAAGTATTTCGTTTTGTTAATCATTTAAACTTTATCACTTACAATATTTTTAGTAGGTTTGGATTTCATTTTGTCTGTGGCAACATTTTTTTCTTTTTTATTATCATCGTCATCTTGAAACATGTTTTTACTTTTAGGTTTATCGATCTTTTGTTTTATTTCAGTTTGTTTTAAAACTTGTTTATCTTTGATATTTGTATTTACATTTTCTTTCACCGTTTTCGTATTTAACGTATCGGCTACTTTTGTTGATTTCACGGTGTTGCCAGATCTCTCTCTGTTAGTATCGACATTTTTAGTAATGTTACTTTCATCAGAAATTATTCTCTTACCTTTTTCCGGTTTATTTCCTTTATTAAGTTTATCCGCGTTTTCGTTATCTTGATTATGTGTGTTACCAGTTCTTTTTGATTCTTCTTCTTTTTGATTGCGTTTACCGTTGATATTATTATTATCTTTCACCATTTTATTAGCCTTTTCACATTTTCATTATTGGTTACTTTAAACTCTCTGTCTTTAGTTAAATTATCTGACTTTATCGTTTTATGCTCGATTTCTTTGTTATTATTATTGATATTCTCATGTTTTGTTCCATCCGCAGTTCTCTTGTGACTAACTATATTTTCAGGTTCTAGTATTTTCTCAGGAATATCATTGCTCGGTTTCTTTCCTTCGATGTTATCACCATCGCCAATCTTGTTCGCACTTTTCACGGTTTTGCCAGTCTTGTTATTTTCCACTACATTTTCTTTGCCTTTAGGCTTTATCTTCTTGGGAAGCGCTTTCGGTGGTGCCATCACTTCACAATTCTCTTTCTTCTTCTTTGATAACGGCATTTCCTGTTCTTTGTCTAAATTTGTGCGTCTTTTTTGTATCCTCACTGTCTCGGACTCGGATTCTGTGCTCTCTTGTACATTGTGATTCAGCCCCTGGGCTTCTAAGCATGTGCTGATGATTTTAGCCAATAATAACGTCCTCTCATCTGTGTCAAGCATTGGATCAGACAGTTGTTTGTGTGCTTGAGTTACTACTTTAATATACGATTCATCTAAAAAAGAAATAAAAACATTAACATATCAAAATAACTGTTTGTTTTATCACTCTTTTTCTTTAAATTGAAGTGACAAACGAACTAACAGTTCCTAACTAATCTGATCATGCAACAAGGGATGCAAAGATACGCACTTCTGCCGATACAATACCAGCACCGATACTCACATAAATATATCGGTGTTACCGATACAATTTTATTTTGAGATATTCAGGTCTAATTTGGGGCCAATAAGACCTATTGTAATAGGTATATGTTATGGCTATAGTTCACTGCTAAGTCCTAATATCTTCAATAAATTGAAGGAGTTACTTAGCTATGAGCAATTTTCCTTTTTACCCCATGGACTGTGAAATGTCAATTGGTTAACATGTTATGTGAAGATAGCTTAGGTAGCAGATCTCCCGACTATGGATGAGCTTTAGTAACTTTGTTATTTTTATCACGGAGATATAAAAAATACAATCATAAATAACTAAAAACAGATAATAATTTCAAAACTGAAACACAATTTCACATACCCATATACTCCAAATCGAACTTCATGCGGTGATGAAATGGGGCAATGGGTGACGACTTGTTCTGCAAGGTCCAAGTAATTTCGAGAAGATTCGAACATTTTAACTGGTAGCCGCCTTCTGCCTGACAGAAACAGAAACAGAAACTTTTTTATTCAATATAGATTATAAATAATACTTATTGAAAGTCACTCTTTTGTATGATTACCACTGATTCGAAAAAAAAACCTCTGTCCTGGGAAGAACCAGCAAAAAAACCCAGCGGGACTTTTTTTTTTTAAATAACAGCTTACAATCATGACTGTATGTTACACAAATTAACAACACAATAAATTAGAAATAGCTTGGTAGCGATCACCTCATTTCCAGGGGTTATTATCATCTATAAATTCATTAATATTATAATAACCCTTTTTATACAAACTTAGTTTAATAAAGTTTTTGAACTTTGAGCAGGTCAAATTTTGTATATTTTCTGGAATTTTGTTGTAAAAGCGTATACATCGCCCCAAGAATGAATTACTGACTCGATGGAGTCGAGTAACTGGTACTACTAGCTTGTGTCTGTTCCTAGTATTTACAGAATGAATATCACTTATTTTTGTAAAACTACTTTTATTTTTGTGTACGTACATTACATTTTCATAAATGTATTGAGAGGCCAAAGGTAATATATTAATTTCCTTAAATTTTTATCGCAGCGACTCTTTAGGCTTTAAATCATAAATTGCTCTTATGGCCCTCTTCTGTAAAACAAATATAATTTCAGTGTCAGCTGCGTGTCCCCATAGCAAAATACCATACGACATTATGCTATGGAAATAGCTAAAGTAAACTAGTCTAGCTGTTTCAACACTAGTTAGACTTCTAATCTTTTTTACGGCATATGCTGCAGAACTAAGTCTGCTTGCTAGTTTTGATATATGAGGGCTCCATTGAAGCTTCGCGTCTAGTGTGATTCCAAGAAAAATGGTGGTATTTACAAGACTCAGTTTCTCCCCATTTAAAATTACATTAGTATTTAATTGTTTGACATTTGGAGTCATAAATTTCATACATTTCGTTTTAGTGCCATTTAAATGCAAATTATTAACATTGAACCAATTTACTAATTTAGATATAGCATTATTTACTTCGTTATATTTTAGTAATTGTCGATTTAATTTGAAAATGAAAGAAGTGTCATCTGCAAATAATACTATATCATGGTTATCCCCTACTATGTAAGGTAAGTCATTAATGTATACAAGAAACAGAAAGGGGCCGAGAATTGAGCCTTGAGGCACGCTCATTTGTACCATCGATCCGGAAGAGCTCATATTGTTAATGACAACTTTTTGCGTTCTCTTACTTAAATATGAAATAATTAATTTAAGAGCATCACTTCTTACACCGTAGTGTTGAAGTTTCCTGATTAATGTTTCATGGTGAACACAATCGAAGGCCTTGGATAGGTCACAAAATATACCCAAAGCATCCTGTGAATTCTCCCATGCATTAAAGATATATTTAATCAGCTCAACACCGGCATCAGTTGTCGAGCGACCCCTTGTGAAATTGATTTTTATGAAGTAAATTATTTATATTAAAAAAATGTAACATTTGATCAAGAACAATTTTTTCAAAAATCTTACTAAGTGTTGGTAGTACAGAAATAGGTACTAAAATTGGCGGGGTCTAATGTACTACCAGATTTAAATAAAGGTATTACTTTACTATGCTTCATTAAATCAGGAAACACACCAGATTCGATACTAGTATTAAAAATAATAGCTAAATGAGGCGCGATTTTATCTATTATAGACGCAATAACTTTAACGGAAATCCCCCACAGATCCGCAGTTTTCTTAACATCAATAGTTTTAAAATATTTTACAATATCTTTTGATGACACTTTATGAAATGTAAAATTCTTTGTACACGCATTTACATTTTGTTTAAGTAATGATTCGGCGACGGCAGGAGAAGAATTCAGTGACTTAGTGGTCAAGATCGGAATATCACTAAAATATTACTCAAAAGTCATTGCTACGTCCTGATCTGATACAGTTAATTTGTTGTTAACACTTAACTGGTAATTTGAATTGCGAGAGTTGATCTTACCAGTTTCGCTATTAATTATACTCCATGTCATTTTAATTTTATTAGAAGCCGTCTTAATTTTGTTGCTCAAATGCAAAGACTTGGCTATGGAGCACACTCTTTTAAATATTTTTGAATAATTTTTTACATATTCCCTAAATTCGACGCTATGATTGTATGACCTTTCATGGTAAAGATCATATAACCTATGCCTGCTCTTATGGACTCCTACTGTCGCCCATTCATTGAATGACTTCCGACTGTTCAAGGAGAATGTTTTAGAAGTAAAAGTATTATTAAATTCATTGCAAATAAGCTTAAATAATGTTCCATACAAAAAATTTGGATCATTTTGGTATGAAAGTGATGGAAGTTTTTTCACTATGTTACTTCTAAATTTCTCCAAGCGACGTGCATTTACTGGAACAAACACAACTTTCTCATCTACTTGCTTTTTGTGAACATAAGGTAACGAAACTACCTGTCCACAGTGATCAGAACTTAATTTTTCAATTATAAATTTATGCAACGGCTTCACATTTGTAAAAATGTTATCTATACATGTTGCACTAGATTGAGCAATACGCGTTGGCTCTAAAAATAAATTAAAAAGACCATATGATTTAAACAATGATCTTCTAGGAGATTGATATTAAAGTCTCCACATATTACAACAGATTTATTCTGTTTATTAAGCTTAGCAAAAACTTCCTCCATGATTTTTTCAAAAGTATCGTATATAGAACATGGGGGTCTGTAGACGCTCACAACAATGAGGTGCTCAAACTCAACACATGCCATTTCTACAGTTCGCTCAACAGAGAGGCTCACAATATCTTTACGTTCTTTACATAACAATAATTTACTAGCTAATATTAAGGAGCCACCTCTTAAAACCGTTTCTCTATTGAAAGAACTGACCACCTGGTGATTACTGAAGTTAAACATTAAGTTATAAGCTTTTAACCAATGTTCAGTAATACATAAAATATGAATATTGTTGCTATTTAAGAACAACTCAATTTCTAGCTCTTTGCCTATCATGCCTTGTATATTTTGATGCACCAGGTGTAAACAATTTTCATTATTACTCTGTGGAGTCATACAATTAAAGATTTGTAAGCTACATTCTAAATTATTTAAATTATTACAACTGCTAGAGATTACCTCTATTATCTCATTTTCTAATTTAAATTACTTGGAACTGATTCCAAATTACATATTAAGTCATTATACTGCTCAAAAGGAGCAGATGTCTATATAGCCAAGTCCTTGGCTGAGTTAATATATAAACAATAAGATAGCACATTTGCTATCTGTCTTAAAATATATTTAGATAGGTAATACCTATCTCTAGTCAAAAATTTCTTAATTAAATTATTTATGTCTATTAAATTAAATTTATTATTATAATTATAACAATTAAATGTCAAGTTTAAATTATTATTACATGAAAAGTTATTCATTAATAAATTTAAATCATATCTTATTTTATTTTCTTGCGGCCAACCCTCTATGTAAGGCAATGTAAACAAGATAATTTTATGTACATTTAAAGTATTTAGATTATCAATATATTTTAATAATTGATTTTTGTTAACATTGCCTCTTCTCCCAACAAGAATTATTAATGTGTTATTAGGGCAAAATTTACTAGCTAAAACTTTATTCATTATGTGACTAAGGGTTGCTCCTGGCATGCAATAATTAGTGATCATATGTCCTTTTAAACAGTTATTTAACATCATGCCCAAATTTTTGCCTATGTCATCACAATACATAATAACTTAATTTTTTTTAATATTTACATTGCTTTTTAAGTTTATATCCTTTGCCATGGCACTGTCATAGAGTGTAGGTGAAAATAATGAGTCCTTACTGTTTACTTTGTTATTTACACATATTGTCCCCGATGAACCTGGTATGGAGCGCTGACACTCACTCTGATGTTTTATTAAGGAGTCAAAGCGCTCCTCATTATATTTACATGATTTTACCAGATCATTCATGGCCAATATGTGTTCTTTTATCTCATCTTGAGCCGATGCATATTTATTTGATAAAATTTGTAGGGAGTTTTTAAGGGATAAAATTGTTGAATTTAGACACTCTATATCAGTCTCATAACAGTGATTCATATTTTCCACCTCAATTGAATATATTTTAAGTTTATTAATTAATTCTTGCTTTTCTTTGCATACATTTATATAATTTTTAACATTAATTTTGGTTTTAATTAATTTTTGCAGTTTTCTAATACATTTATTAATTTTTATATATTTCTTTAATTTTCTTCTACTGCAGGTAGTCCTTGCCGCTGTTCTTGATGTGACATAATCATCACCAGTCAAATCAATTGTTGTGGAGGGTTGCAATGCTTTAGAAGATTCACATTCTATGAGCTTGTTGAACAGACTTTGAGTTTGGGACGCTTTCATGTTGTCTATGTAATGTTTTAATTGCACAATCTGCTCATTAGCCTTACTTAACTGTAACTGTAATGCAGCAATTAATCTGAGGGATTCCTCATATTCCTTGCTGCATTGGTCAAACTCATCGACTGTTCTCTGAAGTTGATCCCTTTCTTTTGAAACAAATGTATATTCTGTATGCAACTTAACCATATCACTTTTTAGCTCGGTATTTTTAGCTATTATATTTGTGCCGGACGGGCGTAACTCTCCGGAGTAAATGTTGTCGAAGATACTCCGCGAGCCGCTCACGTCCTACACCTATAGGTTCCGGTGGATACTTTCACTACCGCCTTTGTGTATGCTGTTGGAGAACTGTGGACTGAGGTTCAGAATTAAAAATGCACGATTTATAAATTAAAATAGCAAGGGAGTGGCCAGCGGTTCGACTGATTAATTAGTCACGAAATATTATAACTTATTTATTTAAGGTGGCACAAGTCGCGGGCTCGAACTCGCTGGTGGGCGCGGCCAAAAAGCACGCTGTCTCACCTGGCATCGTGCCCGACAGAGATAGTATCAGTGATGAGCATATCGACACTAGTATTCACGCATGTCTTGTTCGTACGGTGTTCCGAACCGTTAGAATAAAAACGAAGTTACACGAACACGATGCAACATCTATACTAATATAATAAAGCAGAAGAGGGTTTTTGTTTGTGTGCTAATCTCTGGAACTACCAGGCCGATTTGAAAAATCTTTTTTTGGATATTATAGCCAGATTCATGTTGAATAGTATAGGCTATACAGCATTAGGCTATATATCTCAGCTAGCCTATATTTAAGGAAGTCAGAAGAAAAAGCGCTGTTATGGTTCGGGATACGTAAATACAATGTTCTAGAAAAATATAGATCTTTACTCCGTCTAAAAAAAGTCCGCGATACCATATGTCTATTTCTTATATATAAGCCACAATTAGGCGTTTTGTGACAAAAAAAATGAAAATTTAATTATTAGGCACCTTACGAACGAAAGTTACTTCATTATCAAGACAATTTTATGAAGATAAACTTCGTTCTTTATACCATGTTTATATAGTACATAGTTTAAGAGATAATATAAAATTAAAATAATTCAATACCTACTTGGCTTGACGCGCAAACATCGCATAACCCCTAGCCCGGTGCGAACTGAGAAGCCACTATTGAAAGCTTCTATGAGCGAGGTTAGGTTAGCCGTTAGTTCAATCGTTATCTATATATACACAAATAAATAAAATTGAAGTGTCTGTTTGTAATGTCAAAATAACAGCTTTTTACTAATTGCGTATGAAACTGTATACGGTACTTATAACATTAACACAATTTTTAACATTTTTGTATGTCTGTCAGTCTGTTTGTTGCGGTTAATTTCCAAAACGGCTGGACCGACTTGGGCGGGACTTTCACTAGTAGATAGCTCATGTTATAAGAAGTAACTTAGCCTGCTTAAATTTTAGAAAAATTATTAGGTGTCTTTGCAACAATATTAACGCCCTAAACTAAACGCGGACGAAGTCGCGGGGTACAGCTAGTAGCTAAAATAAATTCAAAATTAATTGAGTACTTTTATCTATCTCCCGGGTGAGCGTAGCAATGATTAGTTACATCTTTATTTCTGAACTCTTTCATTTCACGTTGCTATGGTATTTTGAAAGTTTAAATTTAATTAATTAATAAGTATAAGAGGTTGATAGCAAATTTATCAAGAATCATTTCTTGCCTACACACTTTTCATGAATCGTGTACGTTTTTCTTTAAAACTGGAAAAAACCGCGCATAATATGCCGACAGATAAAATAAAAGTACTCCATTAATCATGACAATTTTTCCATACATTACAATAAAATAAAATATTTGATTGCAATTATAAAATGCTTGAACTAGGTGTCATGTCATGCCACGCATCTCGGACACGTGATGACGCGGGTGAAACCGCGAAATTATTAGGTATACCTCTGTGGCTCTATATACCTAATATAGATTGCTTATTTTATTATGTTTAGTTTTCCCCGAGTGGTCATGCAGCAATCACTCAAGAGTTCGGCTTCGAACGTGTGTAACTCGATAATTATCCCACGGCAACGAAATACCTGAATAAACGGTATGATATATGATATTTGGCAGCTCCGTGGCGCAGTGGCTTAGCAATGAATTGTTGTACTGGGAGCCGCGGGTTCGAATCAATCGAACAAGTATTTGTATGGTCTACAAATAATTGTTCCGGGTCTGGATGTTTGTAAACTGCCTCCACGATACAGGAGAAAATCCTAGTGTGGGGTAACGTTTTTTTGAAAAAAAAAATTCCGGACTATAGCCTATCTCTGAGCAAAATATCATCCAGATCCCTTCAGCCGTTCTGGCGTGATTGAGTAACATACATCCATCCATCCGTCCATCCAAATATCCAAACTTTCGCATTTATAATATTTAGATAATAATCGTAATTGCTCTGCCTACCTATAAATTGTTTTCAAAAATACTTACTTACCTGGCTTTTTTTATATATACTCAATATCACTAAACGTAAGCACAGGTTTTTATCAAGACAAGTGACCCATCAAGATTGTTTTCTTAGTACTGACGTACCTACCTAAAGTTTACAATTTTGTGGCCACGACGCGGCGAGGTTTTGTGACATTTTGTTGTATTGTAGATTGTAGGTATCTAGGTAATAACAGTAGGTACCTATGAAAATTCCACATAATATACTTTGTTTTTCCGCCGCAAAAGTCGTCTAATAAATAATTAAACTGTTTTGTAATTCTTTATTTATTTATAACACTTGCATTGAGAGCCGTGGTAGCTCAGATGGTTAGCGCTCGCTGTAAGTATCACATTACGCGAGCAACCCGGGTTCGATCCCCGTCGGCACCAATGAAATTGTTGCAATTTTATATAGTAATCGAATATAGACTTTACTTTTTTTACTTTTATAATTATATTATATTACAGTCGAAAATTTTAAAATATTGTCTGTCGTCCAAAACGCATCATCTCTTTCAATTATATCAATTTCCATGCCGTCTTTTGTCTTTGGCGTCCAAATTACAAAATAGCAAAACTTTTCGTTTCGAATAAAACTCGAATACTTATAAGCGCGCGTCACCGCCTGTGCATGTGTGTGTAAGCATCGTCCTCCCGCACCGCACCGGGGGAGACATTATTCAGTGAGATGCACGATAATTCATAGTAACATGCGCGCGTAAAAAAATACGAAAAGGCCTTTGGAAGAAGGGGTTTTATGAAAAAACCACTGCATTAATCAATTACAAATAAAATGTATTGAGTTCTTCGATAATTGACCTGTGTCGGTACCGACTTTGTTTTGGAAATTTAACACTTCTTTTATTACTAATTTACGCCCAAAGTTGTGTTAAAATTGGCAATAAAAACGAATCTTTGGTAGCTTGTAACTTTTTAATAACATTTTATTTTACTATTCTGTTTCCGTACAGACAAATTTAATAATGAGACAAAACGATATCATGTTTAATTTTGGATGTACACTGTCAAACAGCGGAGTAAAACCCCTCCGAAATTTCTATGGAAATAATGTCGACTAGTGTCACCTTAACACTGTTTTTCAACTATGATTGTTCACTATATATTTTAAAACACAGATTTAATTAAACACACAGTAATATTAAAATTTCTATTGGTTTTTTAAAATTTCTATTCGTATTTTCAAAATATCTGTTGGTAATATCAAATTTCTATTGGCAGTAACGAGTTTCTATTGGTATTCTCTACTATTTCGATTTTAATTTTAAATATCTATTGAAAGTAACAAATTTCTATTGGTAGTATCCAAAATTTCTATTGGTAGCAGCTGGTTTTCTAACACTACTGACTAGCAGCTATTAATCAACTAAATTTAGTTGAATTTAACACTTTTGTAACTGCGAATATCAGTTACCACTTTTTCCGTCTAGCTAACACTTTTCACTATATGTAACGGCGAAATTTCCGTTACCACTTTTTTCAGCTAGCCAACACTTTTTCACTATATGTAACTGCGAATATCAGTTACCACTATTTTTGGCTAGCTGACACTATTTTACTATATGCAACTGAGAATTTTCAGTTGCCACTTTTTCCGACTATGTGTAACTGCGATTTTTCAGTTACGACCTTTTTCGGCTAGCTAAACTTTTTCTATTTCACTTTAACTTTTCACTGTGTTCTGCTACTAGTCACTTCAGCTACTACCGGATACTACTGCTTGTTACTGGTAGTTCTTCCTACTACAATGTTACTGTGATTTGCCCCCATAAGGTAGACTTCGGCTATACTCTATAGAGAGCCGCTTGCCAATTTCCGGTTTTGCCTTTTTATTATCAAACATTTTCATTACGTAATTTGCACAAATCGCAATTTTTCTATATAATGCTAATTTTTACATTAACACGCTATACACTATAAAATAGGCATTTTGGTCCTTTATCATTATGTGATGATGAATCAAAATGTACCTAATTTACATAACAAAAGTGCACATTAAATCTTTAATTTTACTATATTTCTCAAATGCGTTTATTTACATAAATTATCTATTTACTTATTTCAATCTATATACCATATGCTAACTAAATATCGTATTTACAATTCTTTCAGAACATAAAAATATTCTCATTATTTTCATATAAACTATTGCGCAGTTAATTAACTTCTAGAAAGTTCCACGATATGCTGCGCTGTGATTGGTCGAAATTTTATTTAATGTTTAAAGTCGTTTATATCAACTTATTATTAAAACGATACTTTATACAAATATATTACGAGTTGTAAACATACTGTAAAACTATATTAAAACACAATTTGTTCGATTTTGTCGCTAATTTCACTTTTTTAAAACACTTCAATATTCTTTAATCACTTTTTGCTTAAAGTCTTTAAACCGTCGCGAACATCTCTCCCGCCGTGCAGCGTCGCGAAGATCTCATCGTAGTGGCGCTGCATTCATTTCGGTGAGCGACGTTGCTTTTTACTTCGGTAGCGGCACGAGTTTCTTGGTTGGCCTCTTGATTAGGCCGTTCGCGGTTCGTACCTCCACAGTGCGGATCTGTCCGTCCGCACCGGGGAATACTGCTTCAATTCTTCCTCGTGGCCAGGTGTTTCGAGGTAACTGGCCGTCGGCTATGAGGACTGGATCGCCCACCTGGAGATCGGGGCCTCGACCATGGGCCTCCCGCCGGTATTGGAGTTCCGGTAGATACTCTCGCACCCAACGCTGCCAGAACATGTTAGCGAGTATCTGGGAGCGTCGCCAGTGCCGTTTACTATTTATATCTTTTTCATTGAATACCCCAGGTGTCGGCAGTCTTGCTGATCCTCCCAATTGGAAGTGATTTGGAGTGATGGACTCGTAATCGTTGCTGTCCACGGAGATGTGAGTTAGTGGTCTACTATTTACTGTATACTCCACCTCGCAGAGCAGCGTGGCTAAGACTTCTTCATGTGGATGTCTTTCGTGAAGGACGGTGTATAGTGCCGTCTTCACGCATCGTACGAGACGTTCCCATACCCCTCCCATGAAAGGCGCGGAGGGGGTAATAAAACGCCACACTATGCCTCGTCGGCT